CTCAGCAGCGTCTGACAGGCGCCATTAACTACTGTGTTTGTAGTTATTGTCTCAGGTCCTTCGGCCTTCATCGTTTGGGGGGTCTGGCTTGTTTCCCAGCATCCGTCTTCCCTCCTGTTAGATGCCGTTGAATCCTGACACGTGTCTAACTCCCCCACAGGACCTGGTTTCCTTGCAGCGTCGTGGCTCCGCTGCAGAGACTTCTCTGAGTTTTCTGATCTTTTTCTTTCTTCATGCGTCAGGTTTTGGTTCTCTTTTCAGGCCTTGATCCAAACTTCAAAATCTGCGTATTTGAGGTTAAAAGCAAATAATTTCAAATGTCATCTCTACTTAATTATGAAGTCAGTGTTAGTCTGTATTGGTTTCTGCTTTGCTTTTATGTCCCTGTTTTATTTTGAAGGTTACTTCCTGTGTGGAGTTCTGTTTGAGTTCGTCCTCTCTTGCTCTTTGATTGACTTCTCCGTAGCTTTGTCTTCCTGTGTCTCAGCCCTCGTTTCTTTTCACACCTGATCAGCTTCTTTAGTTTCAGTCTGAACTTTCCCCATAAAGACGACGTTTCGTGACCTCGCTGTACCCAGTGAAGCTCCTCAGTATGTAACAAAGACGCGGTTCGATGGCCGTTACGATAGTTTCTGGGTTGTTCCGACCGGGTGTCCACAGACCGCCTGCCTGGAGTATGACAGAAGCCTCTCAGTTCAGACCTCCTGGTCGGATGTCGAGGGTTAAAGCGTTAAATGCTCGGAAAATTTTCATAAAGCGGCGTCGGCATCCATCAGTGTGTGAGGAAGAAAGGAAGCTGGACGGGTTAAAGAGGAAGGGCAGCAGAAAACACAGACTGCAGTTCACACACGGCGAGTGCGTGACGTTCAATATTCATGGAAACTGATCCAAATGACCACAGACTGTAGATAAAAAATGGCAGGAACCAGCCTGCTGACTAAGTAACATCCAGAATACAAAGATGCACCTGTCCATGGTCCGAGATCAGCAGCAGGCTCCGCCTCCTGGAGTGACACCGTCTGAGCCGCACGCACACGCTGATGGCCGCCTTGTGGTTTTACCTACGAGAGGACAGGTGTGACACACCGAAGTGTTCAGGCCGACGGGGTTCCTGCTGATCCTTGTGCCTCGTGGCAGGTGAGCGCACCGGAGGAGTCAGAGGGCGTGGTTAAAAAGCTGTTTTATTTGTGTGGCAGAGAGTGAGCGTGTGCAGTGGACACAGTCCGGCTCGATGTTGTCCAATCGATGGCTCCGCAGCAGCGAGTCAGACTCCCTCCTGGCTCTCCTGCATGTGCTGTTGCTACGTGACGCCTGAGAGGAAGCGCAGCAGCGCAGGACTGTCAGCAACAGTGATCCCGTTATAAGCGGCGTAGTTGAGCGTCTCGTTTAAACACGAAGCAGCGCTGAAACACCAAAGCTGCAGTTCCTCTAATGTCCACTAGGGCTCAGGAAGTCTCACCTGACTCACCTTTTAGGTGAGCTGCAGGTTTTGGAGCCTGGTTTTTCAGATCCGAGAGTTTTGCTGCTGCTTTACCTGCACAGGTGCCTTTAGCCCGAACGTGACTCGGTCGTACCAGGAGAAGACGTCCAGGTCGGGTAACAAACGCCCGCGTGTCTGCTGCAGGCTGCTTCACATCGTTTGATAAAATTATCCAAAAAGTCCAAAACTCAGGAAAGAAACGCTGACCTGGAGCTGTTTACCGAGTGCGCGGCACAAATGAGCTCCTGCAGTTTCTCATACATTTAAATGAGCTTCAGCCGGACCCCTGTGTGCAGCAGCGCCCCCTGGTGTGTGGAGACCACCGCCTGCAGCATGCATACAGGCTGCTCATTAATCCGCTCTCAGGCCCGTGCTGGAGAACTGCTGAGCAAACTGATGTTAAAATATGGCATAAATGTGCATGTGTTAGCCGCTCGCTGCACTCCTCGCTCTTTCCGGTTTCCAGAAACAAACTCCCAGAAAACATCTGCCCGACCTGCCGAGCACACGAGGCAGACGTGGCGAGGGAGAAAGTCTGAGTCTAATGATGCGTTTGAGGGAGCATTTATCTGATTTTTCCTTGATTTCATAAGCGCCGCATCAGCGTCTCTGTTACAGCGACGTGTGTTTGAGGGTCTGAGTGCTGCTTTGTTTCGATGTCAAAAACAAAACGAGCCATAAAAAAGGAAAAAGCAGCGTGACTCAGTCACGCCAGCGACTGTAAATCGGTGGGATGACGCGTCACGCGGCCGGACACGCCGTACATCGAGCTGTCAGTGAAGTCTGTGACCCAGAAAATCTGAACAAGAGCAACAACAACAAATCTCTGAAGCGTCTCCCCGTGTGTCCGACACAGCGGTGCTGCTGTCAGACTGACGGACTGAAGCAAAATCAGGCGAATTCTCAGGCAGCTTCTGTTAACATCTCTCCTCTCACCAGTAAATCCCGCCTCCAGCATCTCCTCATTTCCTGTTTTGCTTCTCAGTTTCTTATTTGAAGCACAAACTTCTGAATCCTTTCTGTTTACATTCATTATTCATCGTTTCAACAATGGAAAAGCAGACTTCTTGAAATAGACGGCACAGCTGTCCCTCTGCAGCTCGCAGAGACTCCAAGTGCCTGTCAGTCAGATACCCTGAGAGTCGCCATCATGGCTGTCCTACTTTGAGCTTCCAGGCTCAAAGCTTCAGTCGCAGCGAGGAGAAAATCCTCCATCCGTCACAGTGTGCAGACGCAGGACTTCAAGTGATTTCACTGACTGATGCTGGACGTCTGCAGAGCTGCAGAGAGCGCGTCCACATCCAGGCCCACGGGAGAAAAACTCGCTTTCCTGGACGCTCTGTGCAGGCACGCTCGTGTTCGGCGACCCCTAGTGGCCAAAAATATGAAACCAAAACGTACAACTGATCCCAGAGAGCCGAGCTCCGATCACCTGGCTCAGGTGTGTTTACTTTCGTTATCTGCCGAAACAGTCACATGATGTGTGAAACCACGAACTGCTGCAGTCATGCAGAAACGAGCAGGCATGGGGACGGTATGGCGCAGATACAGTGTCACGGTGCGTTCACGCCGAACGCGACCAGAGCGTCAGGTTTACATGTCAATGGAGGAGCGCGACGAAGCGAAACCTCAGAAGCAGATCTGCGTCGCGAAAACGCTTTTCTGCCTGATCCGCGCGACCAAGTAGCGCGACTGACACGTTTGAAGCGCGAAGTAAAATACGCGCTGCAGTTTTTGTGTTGCATTTTGTGCATTTGCGCTTATCGCGTCTACCGCTCGAGTTGGAAAAATCTGAATTCCCAGCGCCAAGTCGCACCACAACAACCAATCAGGAGCCTGGTGACGTGATGCTCTGACCTAGGTCAAAGGGGCGGGTCCAGCCAAAGCCCTTCATTCTAGCAGTCAGTAGTTTTCTGACGAGGCAGCAGCAGAAACAATGTTTCTCCTCCTCCCTGAGGCTCTTCCACTGTAAGCCTCTGTAAATACTTATGTTTTATATATTTATGTTTAATGTTTTCATTTTAATATTATTTCAAATACATCTTTGTAATGACTAATGTGTAAGTGTGATTCTGATTGTGTCAGGATGGCCTCACAGACCTGCAGAGGTCACGACCCTAATCCCAGGCTGTCAGGAATTATTACAATGAATGCGTCACCTGCCAAGGACGTCTGAGCGGTATGGGTGACGGACGGCGAGCGCGGAGTGAAGGCGGCTCTTATGGGAAGCAGGAGATGATTAAGTGCACTTCTTTAGATAAAGGACTCGTCTCCTTATGACTCCGTTTCTGGTGAGTGTCGGGCTGTGAGCGGTGGAGACAAAGCCACCAGCAGAGAGACGAATGAAATCTGACTCCACTGGTCTGCAGACGTTTTACCCCGTTGCATATCTCAGTGTTAGCATGCATGCGTCACAGGAAACGCCAGCTTGTCTGCAAACACGCAGCAGCTGTTCACTCAGTCGAGAAACTAAAAACACGGGTGCTAAAAAAAGCTTTGCCTTCAAAGTAAGTGTTGCACCTTTTGAAATGTATTGTTGAAGCATCGATGAACAGCTTTTACTTTGAAGGTGCCTGTGTATGCGTTATCCCGTTTCTCCACCGCTTGGCTCACGGCTAGCGATGGTTAGCGACATGTCGCCGCCTTCGGTGCACGTGGTCAGTGCCACGCCCTCTCAGCCTCCAGGAGCGTGGAGTGCACTCCGCACCTGCCCACGTTGTGTTGTTGTGTGTTGTTGTGTGTTGTTGTTGTGTGTTGTTGTGGCGCGCTCTCATCGGAAGAATTCCAGCAGCAGATGCACGAACAGGTCGCACGCATGGATGATAAACGTGCTGCCAGCTTCCTGTCACAGCACCTGTTGTGATGTCAGGTGGTTGTTATTCGGATTATTTTGTCAGTATATGAATAAAATTCTGTTTTTGACCCGTTTCTTGTTTTTCCAGTGATAATCTCTTAATTTGCTTATGCGATTAGAAACCTACGCACCACCCTCCTCGGCTCTCGGGGCCTTTGTGATTCGTGCAAAGGTTACACGGTTGGAGCTATTTCTGGTGATCCGCAGCTCCGTTTCTATTCATCCCGGTGGAATTCCCTTTCCTGCCAGGAATGTTATTACCATATGTGAGGGTTTTGTTGTTGCTGCGGTCTTGGCGTGTGTTCGGGCAGCGTTACACAACGGTGTGAGCTCTTTAAACTGGCAGGAAGTTGTGGAAAGAATCTTTGACGGGTACTTTCTTTATCTACATTAGCTCCATCCTGAGCTGTCGAGTTGTTCCGGTTGTTTTCCTCGACGGCAGCAGAATGAAGTGTTTCCTGAAGAACTCCCCTCTGACAGCACTTTAGATGGATTACATAAAGGCCTGATTGAAATGCAGCGCAGATGAGCAGATAAACACTCACATACATTAGGAAACACGTCCTGTTTGCTCTGAGTCTTCGTGCTCGAGTGCTCCGGGCTGTCGCCGCCTAATGAATCAACCTCTTTGTTTTGTTTTCCGACCTGCTGCCGGATGTCTTTCAGGGTTCGATGCCTACTTCACTTCGCGGACTCTGGAGAACAACAGGAGGAACGTGTGGTTTGCCGAGTACTGGGAGGAGAACTTCAACTGCAAACTGATGAGCTCCTCCAAGAAGGACGAGAGCAGCAGGAAGTGCACAGGTGAGCGCTGGCGCTGTTTGTTTACTGCAGGTGTGTGTGGATACAGAATAAATGAAGCCACGCCCACCTGGGACAGGTGGAGAGCAGCGAGTCTCCATTACTCGTTTGTTTGTTGGAGGCTCCATTTTCACTTCTTCTGTGCGACAGCAGGTCTGGACCCTCATCCGTCACCGCACGGTCACAGATGCTGCGTTTAGCTACCCGCTGATTTTTATTTCTAACGCCGTGTACAATTGTTGTGAAAATGTCTCGGGAGGGTTCGGAGACTCGCCCACTGGTTTTACAAAGCTCCCACGTGGGGTTGATCCCACCACGTGTCTGATTTTAGAACAGAAAGCACGACTAATGAAGCAGATCTGAGAGTTACTCCTCGTGGCTGCCCCAGGGCAGCTGTGAACTGTAGCCTCCTCCACCAGTGTGTGAATGGGTGGATGACTGGGTGTGTAAAGCACTTTGGGGTCCCTCGGAGGGACTAGTAAAAGCGCTATACAAATACAGGCCATTTACCATTTGTGTTCCGGCTTTGGGTGGAAGAACTGAAGCAGAGCGCTGGCTGATGGTGAGAGCTTCGAGGTAAAGCTGGAGAATCAGCCTCACGCAGCAGATCGTCAGAGTATCCGAGTCATTCACGGGACAGACAGCGAACGTTCCTGGGTTTGTGTTATTTTCCACAGATCTGATCTGTCAGTAGGTGGTTATTTC